TGTCATGCCAGTAACTCTCCACCACCCCAAAAAATGAAGCTTAAGATGATGCTTTAAATGCATGCCTCCTTTTCAAAGAAAAAATGGACTGTAATTCTGTCCAAAGGTTTCTGGTGACATCCTGATTTTTTGAATTGGAGTTGTTGTCTTGTGTCTCCAAAAGATCACAGTCTTCAGCCCAGTTTACAGTGTGCTCATCTTTATGTCACTGCAGGTTAGGATGGAATCAAGTGAAATACTGCACTGCTGCATGGTGCTACTCGGTGAGAGAGCAGGGCTTTTTGGGTGCTTCTGACTGGTTGGAAATTGCTCAGGAACTTACGCAGTATTTATATTACATTGATACATTTTACAATGCGGTCAGATGTGCTGAGTGCTAAGAAGTTGCTCTGTTACAGTCGGTATTGTATAGTACGTAATAGTTAAGTTTTCTTTTCCTAATAAGGAACAAAGTAAATTCCTTTTTTTTCCAACTGTAATGATTTTAAAATTTGTACTAAATAAATTGTTACCCACAGGCTTATTGCAATAACTCTAAAGGTGCTAATGAGAACAGAGATGCCACTATACAATAAAGTATGCATGAACACTTGGAAAGATGCAATCTTTGTCTCAAAGCAGATGTAGTTGAAATTGATACAAAATGTAACAACTAAAAATTAGTACCAGGATGAAGGAGGGAGGATCCAAGAATAAGTTTAAAAGGTAAATTAGTTCATGAGTTTCCACAACTGAACTCAGAACTTGCAGAAATATTTTTGTGCTGTTACAAACATGGGAAAAGAATGTGTGGTGCAAGAATATATAAGACCTGATTTGCATCAGCGTTGTTGTGCGTGAGTTGTCAATCCAAAATCTGGCATACCTGTCTTCATTGCTGTTGCTAACAATATCTTATGAAGACTTTTTAATTAAAAAAAGAAAAGAGGGGGAAAAAAAAAGGAACAAAGGAAAGAAAACACAGAGCCTATGATTATCATGGTAACAGTGCTTTTGCTTTCTTTATAACATTATGGTCATATGCCTTCCCTGTGAGTAGCAAACGAGCCAGGATTTCATGCATCTACCTCAAAGTACACTTGCATCAGAAGCACGTCTGGGAGGAGCAGGAGCATCTGGTACTTCGTTGTTTTTTGGTTTTGGTTTTTTTTCTTCCCCTCGTCCAAACAGATAGCAGCCAGTAGCCTGCATGTTACTCTGACACTGGACCTCTCTGTGCTGGTTAGCTGCACCTGGGACTTCTAGTGAGTTGGAGGAGAGCTGCAGACAGATAATCATCCTGCATGCAGTACAGTGAGAGCAGATTATGTCCAAGTAGTGTGCTGGCGCTGCTGAGAGCTGCTGCTGTTAACTGTTCTAGTCTAGCAGCTACTTTATTACTACAATAAATTTCAGTTGTGTTTCAGACTAGTAGCTCAGATGTCTAATAAAAAAAGTCTTTCAGTAGGAAATGTTTGAAGGGAGCAAATGCTGTATCCATTCTTAGCAGTAATGATTCCTACCGTTGTTTCATTGCTTATTCTAGGGTGCCCAGTCTCCATTCTTGGGGCTCGATGCATTTAATTCTGTGCTAGTATTAATGAAAGTTAATTGCCTTGCAAATTTCCTGCAAATTGCACTTCCTTCCAAATTATGAAGAGATCAGTGTCAAATACCTTAATTGATGTGACAGCTCTTTTGATGTGAGTAAATCTTTTCTGACAAAAAGTAGTGTTCTAATAAATAGTTCTGACTATTTCTTCTGACAGATAATTTTCTGCATAGTTGCAGATTTAATACACATGGGTTATTCAGGGTGGGTCTGAATCATGACAGAATAATACCTTTTGTGAATAAAAACAGATCAAAAAAATCGGCATTGTTACTTATCTTTAACCAGCTCTAGTTTCTGGCTGAGTATTTGCCTGCTACTTGGTGACCAGGAAGGGACTCAGTTGAATTGCTTCCTCTTACACTGTTCTTTTTAAATGGAACAGCTGTTGCTGTTTCCTGTGCGCGTGTGTATATAGACAAAAAGTCTTAATTCTGCTGTGTAGGTGTTCTGTAGCAAGACATTTTTATATGGCATGTGACTGTACAAGAATGTTGAAAGAGTATACAAAGTCTGCAACGCGTGATCAGCCAATAACCCAAAGAGCGGGCTTTTATTGTGCTATTCTTATACATTCATGTACGTATGTAAAATACATATATGAACAGTAGCGGTTTTTTCATCCCAGACTCTACCTCTTATTTGCTTATTTTTATATTTCTAATTTAGCTTTTTGGAGAACGGAATTTAAACAATTTCCACTTGTTATAAAAACATTGCAATGAGATGTAAAAATAGAAAAAAGTAAAATCCTAAGGATCCTAAACCTGCAATTTACTTGTCACCTGAATTTGTGCAAATGGTTTAGTCTCATCTTGCTGCTTGTAAAATGAATATATTTTACCATTTTCCTAAAATGCGCTGATTCACACAGAAGCTGGATACTTGATGACACATCGTTCAAATAATCTTATATAGTAAAAAGCAGATATTGCAGAAAACCTTTGACTATTAGAATTTGCTGTGAAAATATATTCATTCATATTCTATACCTATATATGTGTGTATTATATCTGTTCCATTTTTTTTTATTGTCAATCCGAATTTCCTAAATGAAAAATTGGAGGGGATGGGGGGAGTCTTAAACACAAGAGAAATACTGATCGATTCAGCATACTTGAAAAGAAATGTTGTGTTAAAAGATGTGGAAAGGTTTTCTTTAAATGTGAGGCTTTGCTGACCTCTGCTGGAGAAAGAATTCGTTGCAGTTTTATGGAGATCTTTTATGCAGTGCATCTGTGGAGAAATGTTCTCCCTCTAAATTCTGAAGGAAAAAAATCATGTAAATCTCTTCCTTCTATACTATAACGTGATTCCAGGAAACTTAATTCTCTTCACTTGCTGTTACGGGGTTGTTAGTGGCAATGTTAGGACCTGTTAGGCAGGTCCTGCTTGACCAACCTGATCTCCTTCTATGACCGTGACCCGCCTAGTGGACAAGGGAAAGGCTGTGGATGTGGTCTACCTGGACTTCAGTAAGGCCTTTGACACCGTCTCCCACAGCATTCTCCTGGAGAAGCTGGCGGCTCACGGCTTAGACAGGTGGACTCTGCGCTGGGTCAAAAACTGGCTGGACGGCCGGGCCCAGAGAGTTGTGGTGAATGGAGTTCAATCCAGTTGGCGGCCGGTCACGAGCGGTGTTCCCCAGGGCTCAGTTTTGGGGCCGGTCTTGTTCAATATCTTTATCAGTGATCTGGATGAGGGGATCGAGTGCACCCTCAGTAAGTTTGCAGACGACACCAAGTTGGGCGGGCGTGTTGATCTGCTCGAGGGTAGGAAGGCTCTGCAGAGGGACCTGGACAGGCTGGATCGATGGGCCGAGGCCAACTGCATGAGATTCAACAAGGCCAAGTGCCGGGTCCTGCACTTCGGCCACAACAACCCCATGCAGCGCTACAGGCTTGGGGAAGAGTGGCTGGAAAGCTGCC